CTCCCAGCTCCAACTCCCTGCCTGGGTCCCAGGGGAGGGCGCGAACCCGGGTCCTGGCCCAGTGCCCTGGAGCAAAGTTCCCGGGAGCTGAGGAGCCAGGATAAATTATCAACCGAAAACCGTCCGGGATAAAGGAGGGGGTGGGAGTGTATGTGTGTGTGTGTGGGCGGGGGGGGGTTCGGCCGGCGTTGATCTTTTCTCTGCAAACATTCGCTTCCTCCGAAACACTCCTCCCCTTCAGAGAACTGTAGTCTACAGACCGGCACTGGCTGCTCTGACCCGGAGCCGGAGCCGGGGCCGGGGTGGGAATTGCGGGGGAGTGTTGCCCACTCGCAACAGCTGCCTCGCAGCCGCGACCCCATTGGCTGGAGGCGTTGTAACCTTGGCCCTCAAGCTCTGGCCCCGGGCCCGGGTCATGTTGCAACCTGATCGTCTCAGGCGCCAGACCAATGTGGAAAGTTCAAATTCCCATCCCTCCGCCACCCGCCCCCCCCACCTTCATATCACAGACCGCCTGAGCCGGCCATCTGAGGTCCCAGTACACCCGGTGCGGGCACCCCTTCTCCCCAGGATCCCCCCGGCCCCCATTTCTCACCCATTTTTAACTTCAGCTTCCCAGGTTATATTACACGCACCTCTCTACCTGGGCTGGCTAACACCCACCCCTAACCCCAGACCATGGGTGACCAAAAGGGGAGGTTCAGAGGAGGTGGCAAGGTAGGGGACAGAGCACATTCCAAGAACTGCCCCCACTAAGAGGCCACTGAAAGCTGGTGTGACTCCGATGGGGGTGGGGGGGGCAGCTGGGATGGAGAGAGCTGTGCTTTCTGCCTAAACAACCAGAATATTCACTCCCTCAGGCCTTATGCTCCAGGGATGGAAGTGGAGCCCTTGGGTTCCCCCATTGGGTAGAGAAAAAAACTGAGGCTCAGATTGGGATTGTGTTTTAGCCCTTTAGACCCATAATTGTTGGGGCTCCCTGGAGGGAGAGGCTTGGGGAAGCAATCTCTAGGCCCTAGAGTCTTGGGTGTCCCAAGAGAGTGAGTGGATGGGAAGGGACAGCAAGGCAATGGGTCCAGAGGTGTTGGGAGGAACTGGCTAGCTTGACCCGGAGGAGAGCCTGGGGAAGCCTGGCCAGCTTTCACCCTCAGAAGGGCAGTGTGGGCAGAGGAAGGACTTTTCCAGGAGGAACCCCATGTTCCATGGTTCTTTGGGTGGAAACTCCAAGGAGGCAGGTTCTGGAAGTCCCAAGCATACACTTTGGGACTTTATGGCCAGAGCTATAAAGAATGGCCTCGGGGAAATGGGGGAGCAAGCAGGACCCTGTCTGGGAGACTCCAAGGGAATTGCTGTAAGGTAGATATGTGTGGGAGTAGGGGAAACTGAACTAGGAGTTCTGAGTTTTCCCCATCCCATCCCCAAGATTTCCAGATTTTCTTCTGGTCATAAGAAGTCCTTGAACCCTGGCTTCAGGCTTTTTGCTCCAGGTTGCCCCCCGCCCCCTCCCGGAGCCAACAAGTTCAGCACAGACTTTCCTCCTGGGCTTAGATTTTGTCACTGTCTCGTCTCCTCTAGTCTTACCTGGCCACAACACTATAACCTCAGAAAGAGGAAAGGCAGGCAGGCTTGGGGTGGGGCACGGGGTGACCAGAGTGGGCTGGGAGGTTTGCTGGGATACAGGCAGGGGCAATAAACTCAGGAGGCCCCCCACAACCCCCCAGGTGCCACAAAAAAAGCTGGCCCAAGATGTGTCTGAGTACTCTCCCATTTCTCCAGACAGATGGTGTTTATCTAACTTAGGAGGGAGGGGGCCAGCGAGCGGGTCTGTGCGCTGGGTTATGTACTCTATTTGGGTAATGAGGCCTGATGTGCCCTAGGGTGGCAGTCCACCCCTCTCCCTATTCCAAAGCAAACACAGGAGCTTGGAGACGAAAGAGGAGAGGAGACCTAGTGACCTATGCACCCAAGGGGCTGTAGGAGTCAGACTGCCACCTACCTGTCCCTTACCCCCTGGATTAGAGAGAGGCCCCTGTTCTGAAAGACTAAGACTAAGCCTTGAGGCCTCAGCCTTCTATGTGAATAAGGGTTGGAGAAGGTGGGCCAGAAGGGACTGGTATACAACCCTGGCTCGTGGACCATGAGGAGGGAGGGACGAGCAGGGGTCTAAGACCCTGAACATCTTGACTTCCTAGGACAGCTCCCTGGAGGTGGCAATCTTGGCCTGTGCCTAGAGGACCCTGAGAGGCAAGCTCCTCATCTGTGTAGAGCCTTTTCATCTCATGAATTTAATTGACTGCTAGGGTTCGGTTTAGGGTCCGGATGCTGCCTCCCCGCTGCTCACTACTCCATCATCTCAGATGCCTTCCTTTGGATCTGAATGGTATTGTCTTGGGCACACCCCTGAGAAGGGGCATACCTTCTAGCTCCGTCCAGATGGCCATTCTAGGATTTGGGGCTGGGCAGACACCAGAAGGGCAATGAAAAGGCAGTGGCTGGCTGCTTGGAGGCCACCTCTGGTGAAGTGGCTTCCTCTCCTTGCCAGACAAACCTTACCCATTCCCTTGACCTAGGGAAAAAAAAAAAAAAAAAAAAAAAAAAGCCACAGGGCCTGGGCGAGTCTGCCATGTGATCTTGGGTATGTCCCTCTCCCTTCCTGATCCTCCGTTTCCTTCAGTAAGAACTGTATCTAGCTGGCCTACCAGACAGTTGCTTGTAAGGCCACTGGGTAGTATTATGAAGATTAAGCTGATAAACAGGCTCCAGTCCTGGCTCTAGTTCTGGTAATAGATTAACAAGCAGATCTCACCAAAGAACACAAGGTCCCCTAGTGGGGACCTGGGAGGGTATTTTATTACTTTTTTTGTTAATCCTCACCTGAGGATATTTTTCCATTGATTTTTAGAGTGGAAAGGAGGGGGAGAAACAGAGAAACATTGATGTGAGAGAGACACATCAATTGGTTGCCTCCCTCACACACCCCAGGGCCAGGGATTGAGGTATGTGCCCTCGACCAGAATTGAACCTGGGACCCTTCAGTCCGCGGGCCTATGCTCTGTCCTCTGATCCAAACCAGCTAGGGCTGAGAGGGTATTTTAAAGCCTGACTTTCAAGGTAGGAATTTCAGGCAGGTTACAGAGAGGGGCAGGATTTGAGAGGATCCCTCAGATTGCCCACCATAGAAGAGTGCCTAGTGCTTGTGTAGAGCCAGCCTCTGCAGAAGCCCCTTTTCCCCACCCTCAGCCCTGACCCAGCCCTCTCCCTCTGACAGTGGTAAGCTGGTGTCTCCCAAGTGGAAGAATTTCAAAGGTCTCAAGCTACTCTGCCGAGACAAGATCCGCCTCAACAACGCCATCTGGAGAGCCTGGTATATCCAGTGTGAGTGGGTACCATGGGCCTTCCCAGCCCAAGGGCTGTGGGAGGGGGTGGGGGTTGGGAAATGGCTACCCAGGAATCCCAGCTTGCACCAACAGAGTGTTTTGGGAGTATCAGCACAAGCACCCCTAAACAGCTTCTGACCCCCAGAGAGTCTTGGGGTGTCCCTGGCACTCGCTAAGAGTGCTCTCCATTGTAGAGCTGGGCACAACAGAAGTCACCCCTTAGAAGTCCTAAGTTGGCCTGAGATTTGGGGAACAGTTCAAGACTCATTCTGCATCCCATTAGTATAGTCAGGTGCTTCAAATGCCAGGTTAGAAAGAGGTGTTAGACACTGTCTGGGCCAATTCTGTCACTTTGCAAATGGGGAAACTGAGGATCCTGCATGGGTCTCTTCCAGCCTTTCATTAAAGTCCTTACCGAACTCCCACCAAGTGACCCCATGGAGATTTGGGGGGATAGGGCCCAGAGAGGCCATGTGGTAGAGTTGAAGGACTCCAGAGTACACAGAGCTGGTTTCCCACCCTGTTCCTGTCACTTGCTGGCTGTGTGACTGCAGGCAAGTTGTCTAACCTCTCTGAACCTATTTCCTCATTTATAAAATGAGGCCAATAGCCCTACTTTTCATGGTTGGCGTGGGGATAACGGGTATGAACAAGCCTGGCACAAAGTGCTCAGTAAATGATGGTTGAAACTGAGGTACCCTTGAGAAGATCATATTCATTTAGGGATACAAGACCCCTTCTCCTTCCCCCTGGCAGGACAGCAGAGGCTGAGAAATAGACTAATTGGCCCATGTTGGGACCCTGTCCAGCTTAGGTAGGTTCTGCTGCAGGATCAAAGGCTGTGCTAAGCTGGGAACACATAGCCCAGGAGGAACCAGTATTCTCTGTACTGGCCCCACGAGATTCCACCTAAGTAGAGAGAGAGTGTGTGTGTTTTGGGTTATTATTCATCTGTGTGTTCAGCTCTTTCCTAAATCATCTTATTTGAGGCTTCCTAGCATCCCTGAGAGATAGGTATTATTACCCCCACTTTATACATGAGCCAGTGAGGCCCAAAATGCAAGTGACTTGTTCAGGGCCACGGAGCATAAAAGGAGCAGAGCTGTAGCTGGGAAGTCCAGGGCTCTCCAGCTGCGAGCCCAGTGCTCCTTTATTGAATCCTGCTGACTGGCTTCCAGTCCTCACCTGAGAATGGGCCTGACCACACCAGGGAGCTGATAGACCAGGGGAATCAGTATCACTATCTGTCCCCCCTTTTCTACAAAGCTGGATGGGGTGCAAACCCGGGGTCCTCACCCAGACAGACTGGTCTCCAGCTGTTGTACAAGTTGTTAGAAGGACCCCAAGTTCTGAGTCATACAAAGGTGGGTTTGAGTCAAGTTCTAGTGTGCCCCACTATGTGAACTTTGCAAAGTCCCTAGCCTCCCCTAACTGACGCTTGCTCATCTATTAGGTAGGCATGATAATAGGTCTTACTGCTGAGGTCTGCTGTGAGTTTTCAGTGCGATCACATCTCAGCACCGGGCAGTCACACACAAGGACTCCCTGAGAGTGAGCCCTGGGCTCTATCTCTATTGTTGTGATAATAGGAAGAGCATAGACAGGCAGAGAACAAATGTCAGGGCTCCTCCTCCTCCCTGAGCACCAAAGGTTTGGAGGTGGGCTTCAGAAAACAGAGAGGGGGGTGACTACTGGAGGACTGCCTGGCTCATCCCCAGGCACCTGCCACCTCTCTGCAGGCTCCTGGCCCCCAGAACCTCTTCTTTTCCCCAAACTCATCTCTGTTTCCTCTGAACTTCCAGAGCACTGTGCCCCTTTCATGGGCAGACTCTCCACCTGGCATTAGCTCATGTTATGTGTGTGCTTTCCTCATCTCGACCACTAAGCTGTGAGCACCCTGAGTCATCCCTGGATTCTGACTCAGCTATTATCCCAGCATAGGTGCAAGGGGCTAGGTTGCTGCATGAATGGATGAATTTCTCATTGTTAAATAAAGCCTGCCCCACCTCCAGGTCACTGCCCTTTTGTCCAGAGCACAGTGTCCCTGGGTGGGGGAGGAGAGAGTAGACCAGGCCTGCTCAGCCCTGACTCTCTGGGGCCCCTGGGCAAACTTACTCTTACCTACTGCTCATTTCCTCATCTGGAAAGCTAGGGACAGATGCTTTTTTGGGACTCTTATACCTCTGAGAGTCCACATACCTAAGGGCTTTCCTTTTGTCTTCTGTCCAAGCAGGCTCAGCAATCCTCCTCAATCTCCTAGGGATCATTTTGGAGAATGTCCTTTAAGTCAGAACTTTGTTGACGGTCCCAAGAAATGTCATGTTCAGGTGATCTCCCTCCTCTGTGTCAATTGTCCCAGAGGAACTTCACTCAGGGCTTCGGCAAGATGGGCCCCCACGGACACCCCTGAAGTCCTTTGTGCCAAGAATATCAGAAAAAGTCACTGCTCGGGGTTTTGAAGTCCTTCTGGGTGCCAACCTCTGTGTCAGATGCAGGGATTCTGGGCTAAAGGGCACAACTCCTGCTTGCACTCCCAGCAGGGAGGCCAGCATTCAGAGAAATGGCTGAGGCAGGTGAAGACTGAGGCAGGCCTAACCAGGGTGGTTCAGAGGAGGGAAGGTTTTCTGGAAGAGGAGCTGCTCTGGGCTATCACGGGAGGGGCTTTCCATGTAGAATAAAACCAGAGGGTAGGCTGTGTGTGTGGGGGGG